AGAGTGAGGAGAGGAGGAGGGGTGAGGTCAAACAGTCTTGGCCCTCTCCATCAGTCCCAGGTAGGCCAGGAAGGAGTGTTTGTGGGAGGTGGGTGAAGGGGGAGAACGGGAGGGGGAGGCTGAGTTGGAGGAGAAGAGGAGAGGAGATGTGGCGGGCCACCATCTGGAGTGGAGGTGCGAGTGGAATGTGAAGCGGCTGTTATGGGTGAACAGGGTGGTGAGGGGGATCAGGGGCGCATGGTCACAGTTCTTGTACTGCTCGAACATGTGGGGGGGGGCGGGGAGGAAGAGGGAGGGGCTGCTGCCGCTTGGACCGCTGGGATTTCTGGTGACATCATTGCCATTAGTGCCGACCAAACAGTGCAGAGAACTGGTGGGGTCCAGCTGTAGGGACTTTCCCAGTGTGATTGACAGGGCAACGGACTGGAGCGCCTGGGATGCTGCTAGACTCATGAGGGGGCTGTTACTTCCACTCCCTCCGCTGCTCCCCCCTCCTCCGCCGAACAGGAAGTTCTCCTGGCTGTTCTGCAACGACGAGCCCCCTGGTGATGTTCCCTCAAGAAACAGCTCCTCCTCTCTTGCCTCATCATCTTCCTCCTCCTCTTCTCCTCCTCCAAAACCTCCATCCAGTCCCCCCGCTCCGCCGCTCTGGTGTTTCTTGAGGTGGCGGCTAAAGACAAAGGGGTGTGTGGTGGTGAAAGGGCACTCTTGGCAGCCAAAAGTCTGGCGCGGTGCGTGTTTCAGCTTTTTGTGCAGGTTGAGGTTGTCCTTGCGCTTGCAGCTGTAAGAGCAGCGGTCGCAGTGGAAGGGCCGCTCACCTGTGTGCACACGCACGTGCTCGATCAGCTTATTGGCCGTCTTGGACAAGTAGCCACACTGCTCACACTTGTAGTGGTTGCCCAGGCGGTGCCTGCGCATGTGGGCCTCCAGTGAGGCCTGGTCGGGCCACAGTCCCTGGCAGATGCGGCAGCGGTACTCCATCTTGCAGTGCGTCTTAAGGTGGCACTCCATGGCCGCTGGACGAATGGTGGAGTAGTTGCAGAAAGGGCACCTGGGTAATGCAATAACAGGGAAGCAGGGAGGGAAGGAGGACAACACGCAAAAGCAGAAGACAGTTGAAGGAGAAGTGAACGTTTAAAACCACATAACACCTTGAAATTTAATAACACAAAACGATGAAGAGGAGGAGGACAGGAAAAGTGTGGATCATGTACAGTTCTGTGTTCTCATGGTGGTATGTGTGGCAGTTTAATGATGGGAGAATTGATCAGGTATATGTGTGTGTGGGAGGGAGGGGTGACAGGCTGAAGAAAAGACTGGAGCAGTAGGACATGAAGGGAAATGAAGGAATGGAGTGGCACTTACATTTAAATAGCACCTTTCATCTGCTCTGGGCCCCAAAGCGCTTCACAAACCCTGCAGAACAGAATCACCTCAGAAAAACCTCGAAATGGTCAAGGCCCTCTCTCCCTTTCTAAACACTCCCGCATATATAGAAACACTTCACATTGCTCAAGTGTATACACGTGTACACACTGGACTGGGGGGTGGGATCTTAATCTGGATTTAGGGGTCAGAAAATGTAGTCAATCGAATTTTCCCTTAAGGTCCATGTTTCCTACACCCTGCCTGCTTTTGTTAGTGGATAGAAACGTGGTTTACAGACATTAAGAGACTGAATTGAACTGCTAACCCACATGTGCACATACAAACAGCAATGAATTAAAGCAGATCTTCTGATTAAATATAAAAACAGCCCTCTTTTTTTCTAAAGTCAATAAAAAGCATGTATATAACACTACCTGTTTCTTTTGAATACACCAATCTGGCTTCAAAAACACTTAAAGAGCACATGGCATGCTTTTCCTCGTTTTTTTTGACTTCTCTACAATGTTACAGCGGTGAATTATCATCTTAAACTTGACCAAAAACTCAAACGTGTATGTTCTAGTACTTCTATGCAGAAGCAACCCGGTTTATACACGACTTACAAACTTGCAAGACTTTTTTTCTAACAAAATAAAGTACTATATGATAGTTTAACGATCTCCTTGAATGGTAATATTCTGTTAATGCCTTGTTTCTGTAACGTTAGAGAGAATTGTTGTTGGCTGGAGAAGATACTGTGTCTGCATTATGCCAGTTATGGGGTTTATATGGGGTTTCTCAATTACCTGCTTTGTTTCATCAGTACATATTCCGTTGTTTTTGTTGTTTTATATATGGAGGTAAAATTCAGATTAATTATAATGCTGTTGCGGTTCGTCGTGCTGTTCGCTTTTGTATTCTGGCTCAAACATGTCAGGTAGGATTTGAGGTATTGTCATTGTTGAAAACATAGCTTATTTGTCAAGGTCTTTTGTTTATGCATTGTCCTGGCTTCCTGACCGGTCTTGTGTTAAAGTGCTTCCCTGTCGAGATGTATTTTCCCTGTTCAAAACTTAGTTTCATGTAGCTCCCCCCTCAGTGGTTGTGGTTATGATTCAGGGTAGGGGAAACACATCTCGATGGGGAAACACTTTGACACAACACCGGCAACAGGAGTTGTGTGTGTTCAAGAACTATCCTCTTGTTTTCAGGAGGAGGCTCTCAGGTTTTAAGCTTCTGAAATAGATGATTTGGAGTTATGATGGGTGCAAAACTAATCTAGAGGTCTTGTCTGTCACTTTTGGCTGTTCCCGTTATGGACTGCCACAGCAAATTGTCACCCTGACAACAAACATGTTGAAATTTGGCACATGTTTTATGCTGGATGCCCTTCCTGGCGCAACCCTGAATTGAACCCGGGCCACAGCGGCAAGAGCACTGAATCCTACCCACTAGTCCATCAGGGACCCTCAAAGTTAATCTAGAAGTACTAAAGATTAAATGGATGAAAGTGAGCATGCCATGGGCTCTTTAAACCAGACAGAAGAAACATTTAAACTGTTACAAAAACTCCTCAACATTTGATTCACTCACACACTAAAGCTACTGTAACAGTAGTCCTCAAGTTGGTGACTAAAAGATAGTGTTAAGATCTTTTGAGCTATGAAGGGGCTTGTGTGTTTTTGTTCCGTTATCCACAGGATTTGTATAAAACAGCAGTCAGTGTAACTTTGTTGGCAGCTTCCTGGTTTACATTCAAATTTAACAACATCCCAACTCCACTGATGGCTGCACAGAAAAAAGATGTAGAACACAGATATTTGCTTATGACAGGATGAGGCGATACTCATGATACTCGATGGTTCTGCACATGCACACACTGGAGTTATGAGAACTCAAAAACAAAAAATGGCTGGTGTTATTTGAAGTGAACCTTAACAAAATGCCCTACATTTCTGATCTCCTTATCACAGTGTTTCTTAAAAGTTTAGGCAAATATTCTCAGGGGTAGAAGCGGTCCCAAATGCCACCCTGAATGTGTGTGAAAATACATTATTGTGACATCGTCGGTGTGTGTTGTTGGATGCTGAGGTCAACAGATGGGCTTTACGTTAGCTTGACAGGCCTGAAATGGAACATAAACGTGTCACGGTACAACAAAGGCTCCTGTGGGACTAGTGTATGGAGATGGAGAGGGAAGCATGGCAAGAGACTAGCGCTACACAAACTCTGAGAAAAATAAGGCTGCCTCATTAGTTATACAATAAAACTATATCCAGTGTGCAGGTGCATGTGTTTTGTTCAAACACTTGTGTATAAATTAACAGGGGTCTGGAGTGCATGGGATGCAAACTATAGACGGGTTTCTGAGCAACGTCATCGACGAGATGCATGCGTATCACAGGGGCAGCACACAAAGCGGAATGATTGAGACTATGTTCAAAGACTAGTGTAGTAAATGTGCTCGAACTGCTCAAAGAATGGCTGGAAAATGTCCACATCCCGAAGGGGAAACATTCTTTTCGACAGAGAATGATAAAATTGTGGCCACTGGCCTCAGTGGCTGAGAGCTTGTGAAGTGCTCATTTAATTTCTGTTGAGCATTTCTACCTAACGTACTCCAAAGAAAACCAGAGCAGAGCAACCTGAGCTTTACAATATTACTCTGCTAAATAAGCTCAAACTAGCTTCATTCTGGCTATCTATACTGTCAAACTTGACTGGTGCTTTGTGCTGGACTCACTGGGAGCTGTGGTCCAGAACACACTCTGCTACTGCTACTGTTGTCTGCTGCTAGATGCAGAACTATTAAGACTTTTTAAAAACTTTTCAGCCATGGCTTTTTAATTCTTTTCATGTAAACTGAGTTGGAAACAGTCAAATTGCATCCTGTTTTGACTGAATACAGCACAGAGCATTTTATTTATGAAACCAGGCTGATCATGCCATAAGGGACGGGTGACAGCTCCACTAACTTTGCAGTTAAGGTGATTAAACTTCCGCATACAACATTCCGTCTATTCTCAAAATTTACCGTGATAAAGTTAATCATGTTATGCTACAAATGCCTGTATTATCTGTGTTTTATCTACTGTCCTAATGTAAGTGATTCAATAATACAAAATGCTGGATATTACATCCATGGTGACAACTGAGGTAGCAGCACCTCAGTGAAAGGTGGCCTCACTGGCTTTTGTTGAACCAATTACTATTTAAAAAAGATGAAAATCTCCAACAGATAAACAAACATAATAGTACACTAGCACGTTTACTCCCCCCTGATCCGCATGCATCCTCGAATGTTTGTCACAAGGAAACCCGTCTATGGTGAGAGTTAGGTTTGGGCATTGTATTATAAAGCTTTTCATCAGGGCCATTATTTTCAAAACTGTCATGCTGTGTTAGATGTGCGAAGGTACATATATTTGGATTGATTGGAGTGTCAGTGTCCAGTCTGTTACAGGTGTAAGTCAGCTGCTTATGGAGTGTGTGCACTTGCTTCTAAATGATTAGCTTCTAGGGGTGTGCCAACAGATTTTATATAATACACAATACTGTACACAGTGTGTCTGTATTAAGGGGGGAAAAACTGTTTTCTGGAAAGCAGATTTCCCCAGATATGTTTCTTTGGCATGGCTGTTGGCTGTAGGCAGTGGAACAGCACACCCCGAGGGGGAGCCCATTTCTATCTCCTTTCCCTTCTGTTCAGAGCAGCCACCACAGACCACTGTCTACTATGTTCTACTTGCCATGAGAGGCTATCAAGCACAACTCCTAATTTTATTTACTGGCTGTAGATAATGCACATAAAAGTGATGTAAATGGGTTCAGGATACAGAAAAGACCATGTATCTGTGTTTTCTGTCTTATTAATGAAAATTCACAGATATCATCTGTATGGCTGTTATAATTGGCTCTTACAAAGAAATGCCATAGCAATCAGACCGCTTTACGTGTATAAACGGATGCATCTTTTGGTATTTAAGTTATTTTACATGCATCGTTTTATGTAGATTACATGCAAGAGAGTAACTGAAACCACTGTGAGAAGCCTGAATACTGTGGGACAAGGATACGTCTTCACACTACGTTACCAGCTAAAGGCTTCAGGTTTTCCTTTTACCAAAATGAAGCCACATGTAAATATTCTGTAACTAGCACACCCTTAGCATTGGTCTGTGATTCTGTAAATACTTTTGTTGTGTGTAGTGAGTTGAAAGGGTGAGGGAGGGGAAGATGGGTGGACTTAGGAACCTCTGTCTGTACTTGCTTTCCTTACTTGAGCCCTCCAGAGGGGACGGTGTGGCACTTCTTGTGCTCCAGCAGCTGCTCGGGCGTCTTGAGGAACTTGTGGCAGACATCGCACTCAAACATTCGTGTGATGAGGTGGATCTGTAGGTGCCGCTCGTACATGCTGCGCGTCTTGCACACAAAATTGCAGAAGACACACTCGAAGCCTGGAGAGAACAGAAAGAGGAGGAGAGGGTGAGTTAAGTCTGTTTGTTTAAAAGATTTTAAAATTTGATAATTTTGTGTAGTAATTGTTTGTGCCCTTAAGACTGACTGAAATCTCAGTGACCTAAGAAAAAGACAAAAAAGGAGGTTTAACAGTGTTCAGTAAAATCATTTGTTAAAAGGGAGCTCAGTTATAGCAGGGGTCGTCAACCTTTTGTAACTTAAGGCCCACTTTTGATTTTAAAAACATTTCCAAGGACCATTTTCCCAAAAAATGAGGGGGAAAAAATAATTACAACTCAAAATAAATAAACTTTGGCTTAAATGTGTTATGCCACTGTGGCCACGGCCCACCAGTGGGCCGGATGTCTGGGTTATGTCACTTCCACAGAGTTAGGGAACTCAGCCAGTCAAAGGTTTGGCCACACAAATGCGAATGTGGGTCCAGACCTTTGACTGGTGCCGTAAATGCAGCAGGGACTTCAATATGACTTTGGGCCCCTGACAGGGGTCAAGCTCCAAAAGAATCTTGAACTTGCAATGATTTAGCCTGACAGAATATACTGTTAAGACCCTCCTGGCTGGTAAACACCCACATCTCCACACCCCAGTGTGTAACGAAAACATATACATTTGCAGTTTATGTATAAAATTGGCAGAATGCCCTGTTACTTAATGGAGGAAATACAATTGAAAACGGCCTCGATTAGACTATATAGCTCCAACAGTTCCTTGCCTTTGTCAGACTTATCCTCAGTTCCTGATCCCGAGTGACTTCCGGAGCTGGACTGGCTGCCTGCAGAGGATGGTGGGACGAGCAGGCTCTTGGGTTCTTCGTTACCGTGGGTGAGGTCTCCACCTTCCAAACTGTTGAGTGAATCGCTGAGGGCTGATAGGGATGAGGAGGTGCTCTTGGTTTCACTGAGGGGACTTCTGGAGTTCAGACCTGGAAACAAGAGGACTGAAAGCAGTGTTCGGGAAAAATGTTCCAACTCTAAAGAAAAACCCAGGACAATGGTAAATAGAAACTGTGGGGTGTGCTTCAAACTGCAAATTCTAAATTTAGAAACTTGTTACGTACTGTACATGCGTACACACACCACCATACACACAAATAAAATAAAATCAGGCAGCCTTGATAGACCTGTGTCCTGCTGCCAGTGCAATCCAGATGCAATGTGCTTTTATCGATCCCCATCTTTAAGTCTGCAATTCACTGGGAAGAGAGAAGGAATGAAGGGGGGGGGGGGTTGGGGGGGGGGGAGGTCACGGCGGAAGGGGCTAAGAT